CGGTGCTGCTGCACGGCTTTCAGCTGCTGCTGTGTGTGCTGGCCTTCACTCATCCCATCACTGAATCTCTCATAGTGCTGCACGCCAACTGGCAACCAGAGGACGTCGCCTTTTTTAATTACTTCTGTTTCATCCTYATCCCACGTTTTCTGAGCCCGCTCATCTACGGCTTCAGAGATCAGAGTATCAGGGGCTGCATCAGGAAAACATTCTTCAGCTGCTCAAAGAAAGTCAAACCCTGGTCGTAGAACAAAATGAAATTAAAGACTGTCTTAAAACAAAAGTCAGGAGCCCATATGAACATTGGAACAGGTTTATATTCTTACTTTTCACACTGGCCTTTAAGAGACCCTTTCAAATGCACTTTCATTGTCACTGATGGGGACACACACAGTCTTTGTTCTTCTGGGTAAATGTGCATGCCATGTGTGTTATGACAAGTCCTTTCAAAAARGAAAGTTCAWGTTCTTAGACAGATATTTTGGTTATGAAACATCATTGTATCTTAATGTGGGTYAAACAGTTGAATGTGCAGCAGAAGACTCTTCAATTTKTTTTTGTGTTGTGTCATTTTGCAGCATCAGATCTGCAGCAAACACTGTCATTACTGCTGCTATAAGATGCTCATTGTCTCATAAAATGGAAAATGTAAGAAGAAGCTGAAGATAATTTGTATTGCTTAATTCATTGCGCATTTCATGAAACATATCTGGATCCACTCAATGATTATTATCAGTTAAAATGTTTGTTATATGAGTCCTGAAATTAATGTTTCCCAGCTGGTTTTCCATCATACTTTCAAACATGTGCCGATGTGATCATCAAACATATTTAAAAGTATTAAATTGGTTTCTATGTGACAATTAATTGTCTTAAATCTAGTTTTATGAAATCTGCAGCAACCCTGTTCTTGCATATACATCAAGGGAGTTCACTTTTTAAGTTGCACTGATGTAATTAAAAGATACACATTTGTGATACAGAGAGAACAGAATGTACAAACTCTGAACAAGAAATAACCAGACACTGATTAAACTTTGTGTCCTCAAGATCGACACATTTATAGATCCACCACCAGAGTCAAGAAATTCATTTTAGTTGTTCAGACACAATCTGGCTTCAGCCTCTAAGTCTCCCATTGAACATGCACTGCTGACTGAGGTTCAGACTTTATAACGAATATTTAAAAACTTAGAATACCATATATGTTTGCAGAATGCACAAATCAGTGTACTGTAGGTGCAAAACTGTCATTTGAATATTTATATACATGTATGTAAGTAGCCTTAATGCAAGTTTACACTGATGCTAGTAAAGATGTGTCCAAATTGTCATATAGGTATTAAAAAGTGATTAACAGTAAATTTGTTGTGTGTTAGATGTTTTTGTTAAAGGTACAGTGTGTAGAATTTTGTGATATCTAGTGTTGAAATTGCATGTTGCAGCTGAACACCCCTCACCCATAGACGGATTACCGCATGGGCAAAGTGGGTGTATGCCCAGGGCCCTAGAGCCAATAGGGGCCCTTGGCCTTCGGAGTTGTTGTGTTTTTTTTTTGTGTAGGCAGGGGCCTGTGGCGAGTTTGTGTCCAGGGCCCGTGGTCATGATAATCCGTCTATGCCCTCACCTCACCCTGCCCTTCTCAACATAACAGAGAAACTGTGGTAGCTTCAGTTGTCATAAAAATTCAAAAGGTGTTTAGTTTGTCCAGTCTGGACTAATGTAAAAAACATGGCGGCCTCCGTAGAGAGGGTCCCCTCAATGTAAATATAAAGTATATGAATATATTGAGCCTTTTCTGGGGTAAAGAAAACTACAATTCATACAATTTAGATGAAATGAACTAGTGAAAACATCATGAGGATTATTCTACATTAAATTTCTGCCAATAGTTCCCTTTCACCTAAATCTTACACACGGGACCTTTAAAGGTGTAAAGCACCATATGCACTTCACAGCGACACATCCTACATGGAATCACAAAATAATAATAATCATACTTATTCTACTACTACTGTTGATAATAATAATAAAAACAATAATAATGATAATTGATTCATCTCTCTTCTAAAGTTTATGGAGCTTTATGGGTTGTTGTACAGCACTGTCGCCTGCAGAGGTCGCTGTGACTCCAAATTGAATACCCATATGCACCTAAAGCTGTGATTTATCTTCACCTTAAAACAAATAAATCAAATATATAATTACATACATAGGCTATAATAAAGACGGCAAGTTGATCGTAGTATATCATGCAAAAAGGTATTTGCATGCAACCAGGCTCGAATCTAATAATTTTATCAGATTAATTTGCAGAAACAACCTAAATAAAAGTTTGGTGTATTCCTGTTGTTATTGCAGAGGAAATAAACCAGTCTGATTTATGTAACGGTGTAAAACTCATCTCCTCAGGCCGTGGGTGAAAGCTGAGCTCAGATGTGAGGAGGATCTGGAGGCAGGTTTGATTCTGACAGAGGAGGAGGAGGAGGAGGAAGAGGAGCTCAGACTGTGGAGCTGCTGCAGGAGGAAGGACATTTAACTCTCAGCTCTTTTCTTTTTGTTGCTGTGGAGATGAGTCCTCTGACACGTGTTCTCTTTGGCTGTGCTCTCCTGACTGTGTCCGCAGGAGAAATGTACACATCGCTGCTGAACGTCAGGCAGGCGATCAGTGTTGAACGGAAGCTGATCGATGACCTGAGAACTTACATTGACCACGAGTTTGAGAGGCTGCAGGACATCAGGCGGTGAGTGATGGTGACAAAGTGGACGTGGATGGTTTATGAACAATTATGAACAATTCTCTAACTGCATCAGAAACATCTGCATTAATTCACAGTGAAGAGTCCTGGAGCTGCTCCATACAAAGGAAATGTAACATGTTTGTGGAGAGATTTCACAAGCATATGATCAAATAATACGAGTTAAGACGAGACACAAGAAAAGTTCTGAAAGTTAGGATAAGTAAGAGGAGACAAGACAATTTAAGGCAAGTTGAGACAGGACACGTTACGGTACGATATCCTACCATACGATATGATATGATGCGATACGATGCAACACTTAACGATACAAAAAGTTATGATACCATATTATTTGATACGATACGATAAGATATAATACCATACTAGACGATACCATTCGATATGAGACAATATGATGCGATACAGTTAGATACATCACCATACTATACCATACCATGCCATGCGATATGTTACGATACCATACTATGCAATTTGATTCAATACGATAAAAGTTAAGACAGGACAAGTTGAAACCAGAAAACTTGATATTGAAAGATATTATTATGCTACGATACACTAAGGTGCGATACCATTCTACACAATACAATTTGATGTGATACATTATAATATGATAGGATAGGATAAAATACTATACGATAGGATACAATGAAATACAATATGATATGATACAATTTAAGACAAGAATAGTTGAGACAAGAGAAGTTAAGCTACAATTCAATAAAATACCATATGATACGATGCAATACGATATGATACAATATAATGAAGATGAAAAGAGAGAAAATTGATAAGTATGAACATCATCTACAATGTTAACAGAATACATATAGTGTAACATAATATGTTCAAATGCAAAACTGGGAATCCTGCATTTACACTTTATATATCTTGATATCCTGATAGCTCAATATATTCAACTTAACTGTTCACAGGTCTGTTTTATGGTTTTTCTTTCCAAGAACACAACAACATCAGCTAACTGTGCAAGTAGAATCATAGCTTTTAAAGTTTTTCTTTGTCTTGGACAGAAACTTTCATCATGCTGCAAAGAGCCTAACTGATGCAGAACAAGACTCATCAAGTCACTACCCAATAATTTATGCTGATGATTGAACAGTTTCCCTGTGGGAAAAAAAGAGAAAATGTAAACTGAAGTTTCAGTGTTGTGGTGTTTTTGTGGTGTAGTTGGAAAATGAGTCATGTCATGCATCAGCTTTACTGATCCGTCAACATCCAAGATTCATTTTTATTTCTTCTTCTGGCCTCAGAACAAAAAGCTGTTTCCTTTCAACCCAGCAGTGAACTCTCAGATGCTTGAAAGGTCGCTATTATTAGATGTGGAGAAGTAAAATCTAATCAAGTGAATAAAGACAAATAAATAAAAGCAGATAGGTGAGTGCTGGGGTATATAGTGAGTTGCTTTGGAGTAAGCTTAACTGTTATGTAAAAAGGATGCAGCTATTTTAAGAGCTTAATAAATAAATACATAGTGTATATGCTTGTAATAAGATGCAGATATCTATCTCCAGGTAATCTATCATTGACCACTGTGCGTGATAATATTTTGTGTTTTTAGTATTTCCACCCTGATGATCTGTCCCTGAATAACAGAGTTTAGTATAACTCCTGTCCTGGATCTGCCTGAAGGATATTTCTTTACTGTGAACAGTTTTTTAGCTCAATAGCACCTTAGTCAAATCCTAATTAGTTGTCCTCTTCTTTTCCTTTTATAACCACCCTCCATGTTCTTGTAACACAGTTTTTACACCAAAGTGTCTGACCTGCACACTGGACTTTATAAAGGCCCGGCAGCTGCGATGGCGAACCCACTGGTGGCCTTCACCCTGATCAAGCGGCTGCATTCAGAGTGGCTGAATGTCATCTACAACAGCGAAGCCTCTGAGAACACACAAGGTTTACTCACCGCCTCCTCACAGACACATCTGGTGGTGATAACTTAATACCCCCCCAACCACCCTTCTTCTCTGCTGTCACCACCCAACCCCCACGCTCACCTTTTGGCCTTCTGCTGTCCAGCCCTCAGGTCCAGTTACGAGGAGGAAGAAGCTGAACTGCCTAAACTGGAAGACCTCCAGGGGGCCGCCAAGGGGCTGATGAGGCTGCAGGATGTGTATGGTCTCCAGGTTGAGAGCCTCGTGAGGGGTCGCTTCCAGAGAGTCACAAATGGAAAGCCTGCTGATATCTGCATGCCCGCAGTCTCTGTGCCACTGTCTGGTGACGACTGCTTTCTGGTTGGAAAGGTATACAAGCCATTATTTTCCTATTATTGGCTCCCCACAATGTTTTAACCTAATTCTACAGAGAACACACATCCTAAATTTAATAAAAATACTACACTCTTTGATAATAACTGTATATAAAGATGGACGACATGACAGCTGCTAAAAAGTAAAGCCAAATCTTGTTCACCTCCTGGTGGCTGGCTGCAATATAGCTGCAATATAGCTCATAAACCTCCATGTCAATGAAGTTAATTAAGTCTGAGTATATGTAAAATAAATGTTTCTTAAAGATTTCCTGCATCCTGTGTACAAGATATTTTAGCTTCATTTTGTACAATGGGAGGATGTGGAGACACGTTGTCTATCTTCATTTACCGACTATTGTAACACCTAGTAGATGTCTAACAGGTCTTGAACCAAAAAAGATCAACATCATCATCTTCATTATTCACTATTACAAGTATTTGATTTAATAATAAACTTAAACTTAATCTGCAAAGTAACTAGTAACTATGGCTCTCTTATACATGTGGTGTATTAAAACAAAAGTAAACTCTCTCCCTCTTGAATATAGTGTTTAAAGTAACATAAAATGGAAATAGTACAGAACTAGTTGCCCCAAATTGTAGGCTGCTAAAGTTGAGTAACCTTGAGTAAATCTATTTTGTTTATTCCACAACTGCTTATTTCCTGAAATTTAGCAAAGAACAAGTGGTGTAAGTGTGTTGGCTTGTCTGTCGTCCTGCTGGGTCCCTTTTCTGAGTAAAATAAAAAGACGTAAAAACAAATCAAAACTTAGAAAGGGTGAACGACATTAAAGTTTCCCTCCCTGATTAACAGCACCTTCCAAAACTGTCAATCATTGTGTGGTGGTAAGAATCCAGACCGTCCGTCTGTAAAAAGTGGAACTTTTCCCATTGTGTGCCTGGGAATCCATTTCATGTGAAGATGAATATACATTTCTACAAGAAGAAAAATTCCACTGTTTATGTACAGTGGTGATGAGTCGGGGCAGAGAGTGGGAGAGTCAGCATTGAGCATGGAAAAGATATTATCTCATGCAGCAGACATTGAGAAGTGTTTGGGGGGAGGCCGGCAGAGTTTGTCTTCACTTCACTGAGATTATCTCAGAGTCTGTGTAAACGGAGATGCTTGGTTTTAGGGTGCCGCCAGTAAAAGGGCCGCCTGCACGTGCTTTTATATGGTCGTTAAACCAACAGGGCGTGTTAACAGAAACTTGAAGCTTGTCAGTTTCTTTGGGAGGAATTTTAAAACAGTTTGAAGCTTATAAACTATCTTTAAGAAATCACTGGTTCTTAAACTGCTGCTGAGATGAACAGCTTCCAAATGAGAGGGTTTTATAGTGAGAAGTGGGTGTGAACCTGTAGAGTGGATAACTTTGTTTGATTAGATGAATGGTGTGTGTGTGTGTGTGTGTGTGTGTGTGTGTGTGTGTCTGTGTGTGTTTACGGGGTCAAATGCCACACTGGAATTTGTGTTTGTGTGCTGTCTGGAGGGGTTGTGGATATAATCTGTGGTGGGAGGAGCCTCTCTCTGTGTGGGTGCTGTCAGACCTTTACTCAGCACCTACTTCATCAAGTCCAGTCAGCTCAGTATAAAAACAGGTGAAGAGCTAATCCTGTGTTCCTGACTTTCTACATGTAAAGCTACCCCCGTTGTTTTACTGGTTCTCCACACACCTAGGTAACGTCATCATTAGTGCATTTGACTGAGAAGCCAAGATTAATTTTGCCTTAATTCAAAATATTATGAATGAATTCATAACTTCTGTGATGAACTCTGATATTGTTGTATAGTCTTCTGTGTCACTGCCACCTGGTGGCCTGGATTAGAACAGCTTGTTGTAGCTCTTGCGTGTTCAAACGTCAGGATAGTTTTCTCCGCTCGTCTTTCGATGGCAGTGAAAACGTAACTGGCCACTGGAATCTTTTAGTTACTCGAAAATAGTTCCTAGGCCAAAAAGGTCCAGGATCTTATGGTCTAAACATAACAACTTTTTATTCATGCAACCAATTATAATTCAGTCACACACTTTTTTTTTGTTTTTGTGATGTTAAAGGCGTGTAATGCTGCCTCTTGCTGATAGTCTTAAACTTGCAGGATTGGCATCAGAGGAACCTGAACTCCCAACCAGTAAATGAAAAACTCTCAGGTTGAGCAAATGCAGCAATTAATCCATTAATAGAAAAATTTATAAATTATACATTTTTGAAGAAATTCACATAAGCATTGTGCAGGATTGATATTCTAAAAACGGAATGATTACTTGAAATCAATTGATAATTAAAACCAATCAAAGGTATATCTTTTCATCCATAACAACACTTTCAAATTATACAGTATTCCACATCACATGTCTGCATCTGCCATCAGTGGAAAATGCTTTTTTTGGTAATTTAATAGGATGGCTATTTGTCTTTATTCACTCACTCAGTCTGAATCCTGCTCACTGGGCATATATAATTATACCAGCTGCATGACGTTACAGATTTGGCAGAAAAAAATGTGTCTGATTCTTGATGCTGCCTCACTGAACAGATTTGATCCTCAATAAAATCATCTCAAGTCTAATATCCCCCAGACCTCACAGACTCTGGCAGACCTGCATGCAACATCTGGCCGATGTTTGGTCCTACAGTCCTGAGACAAATTCTTATTACGTTACCCACTATTGATCAAATGTAACCGTGGTGTTATTGTTCACAGGTGGCCTACGAGCAGGAGGACTACTACCACTCGGTGCAGTGGTTGGAGGAGTCGGTGCGTCTCTTCAGAGGAGTCGAGTGGAGCCCTGAGAATGAAGGCACTTTGGAGGATGCTCTGGATCACCTGGCCTTCTCTCACTTTAAAGTATAAGAAGGAAACTCACAAAATGCACATTGATAACTCGACCGAAGGATCGAGCTGCTCTAAACTGCTCTCGATGTTTCAGACAGGAAACGTCTCCTACGCTCTGAGTCTCTCTCAGGAGTTACTGCATCACGGTAAATCTTTTTAAAAGCTTTGCACGTGTGGCATAAAAAATCACAACTTCTGTACAGGTTTTATCTTTGCCTCAGTGAATGGTGGCTCAGGAGGTAAAGTGGGTCATCCTTTAATCAGGAGGTTGGTGGTCCGGTTTCTGGAAGCCAGGAACTCCAAATGTCCCCTGAATGCTGAGCTGTCGGTGTGTGATACTAGGGCACTCTATAGATATTGAAGCGTGTTCAAACGGGTGACTGTGACTCTTGAGTAGATGTTAAGACTACATTGATTCAAAGTGTGACTCTATGTGTTTTTCCTCTTAGATCCAAAGAATGGAAGAGTTCTGCAGAATGTTGAGAAATACGAGAAGCTGCTGGTGTCTGCGAGTCCACCCAGGAGCAACGGGTTGAGGAGACCTTCATCCGATCACTTAAGGACCAGGGACACATACGAGAAACTCTGTCAGACCCAAGGCTCTCAGGTATTCAGCACAATTAATTCTGGACACGTACTGTTTAAGAAAAAGGTATGAAAGGGATCATTTAAGAGTTAATACAACAACCACAGAATTTTAATAGAATATTTAAAAACCCGTGACGTAAGATGTTTTTCATTCCAACATCTCCACATAGTTAATCAAAGATTTGTCAGAGCTCTTAAATTCCATCCTTTATCCAAGAGTTCATCAAGATCCAAGTTTTCAGTTGGAGTTTCCTTGACCATAAAATGACAATAACAATCCCAAAGTCATGTTTGCCTTTATGTGCAGTGACGGACAAAATGCAAAGATTAATGTTTGTGCATGAAAAGGGAAAAAAAACTATAATTTCTTTGATTTTGTTAATGGACCTCAGATTTTCTGTTTCTCCTATCAGCCAATGCATTTTGAAAACCCCAGACTATTCTGTGACGACTTCACCAATGGTAATCCCGGCCTGCTGCTGATGCCAGTGAGGCGAGAGGTGCTGAGCCTGCAGCCGTACGTGGTCCTCTACCACGATTTCATCACTCGCTCAGAGGCTGAAGACATCAAGCATGTCGCCCAGCCAGGAGTAAGTGTCAGCACTGTGCAGTTTGCAGTTTTCTCATGTTTTATTTTGATCCCATGTTTTATAACGTTTTCGCAATAAAAACAGGAAATGTGCTGTTTCTTCCACATGGGACTCACAAAGCGGCAAAGTTTGTATGAGTTCAACAGATTTTGTTGAAATAAACAAGTGGATTAACATTAACGTCTTGTGATGTTGCCATGTGAACGCGTTGTTGTTTGGTCTCACGTTTGAGAATCAGATCTTATTTATTGCACAGTGAACCAGTGGGTCACAGTTTTCAGAATATATTTTGCCTTTGTGGTTTTCTTTATTACTGGTGAGCTCAGGTGGTTTCCCAACACATTTTTATTTTCCTCAATCCCAGATGTTTGTGTGTCATCATATTTGCAGCCTTTGCGCAGGGCTATAAAGTTGTAATTTGACTTCAAGGCAATCTGACATGGAGATCATTACTAAAGTCCATGTATTCAAGTGGACTTTAAATCTTTTTTAGTAGGCACACGGTACAGTATACAATATGTTGGGGCTACTACAAGTGTGCCATGGAAGGAACAGTGGATTTACATGGATCCAACTGTTATTCTCTAATACCCACCAGGCATCACTGGTCATCCATCACATCCTCATCACAGCTACTGTTTTACTCCACTATAGGGTATTTTATGTTTGTTTTCACTTTACAGGTTAAGACTTTATGCACAGAACATTAACAGCATTAAAAAATGTTCATTAGTAATTGTCTAAATTCCCAGTACATAAAGTTCAAATTCAAGCATTTTAAACCAATTTTCAAACGATCCTGTGGTAATGCACATTAAAAGGGAAAATGAACTTGAGAGGTGAAGTCATTTTTTCAATTTATTTTTGGTAAATATTACTTTTGCACATATTTCCTGTTAATGCGCTGCTGTGGGGCTCTGCTGGCGTCTCAGTCAGCCATGTACCTTTTCCTGCTGGACAGATCCTGGAAAGACCCTATGGAGGAAGAGTTGGTCCGCTTCCAACCATTTAGCACGGCCTAAAGGAATGAGGGATGCATTACTGTGAAAACTTGGCAGAGTGTCTCGAAACTGTCAATGAGCTTCGCCATCTCTCTGAACTTGGACCATCTAAAAAATGAAAGTTGAACAGCACAGCTCAGAGCTGCTGACTCACTTAGCGAATAGTTGGTGGGCTAACTCCGCTGCTACCCTATAGTTTCTGTGAGGTTTTGGCTTCGTTCAATGACTTTTCCATCCTGTGTTCAGATGGAAACCCCTTTACTTATTTCATCATTATGTCAGCTTGTGGCTTGATTGAAAACAGGCCCAGGACCTCATGAGCTTGGTTTACACTTTGTTCTGTGCTGGATCCTAGAAGAACACAGGTCTGTTTTGAGTTAACAGCTCAGCCATTGTTTCGACTTTTATGACAAACTGACGTGTGAAGTAATTAGTCGACTTTTCAGTATTTCGCGTCTTTTGACCTTTAGCGTAAGTGGTGGTCATAAGATGCCTGGGTTTACTGTTCTATAAAACACTACCAGTGATGTACCCAGACTGGAAAACATGTACGATATGAGCAGAATGCAGTGTGACCACTCTGCTGTACAAATAAATCACAGAGGATCAGTTTTAAGAAAAGAACACTAGGTCCAAAACCTCTGGACTCACCCAGACTCCCTCCCTGATTCACTTTGACAAACTGCTCAGGGAGACGGAATGAAACTTGAATCCGTTATCTGGAAGGAAATCTGTGAATCTGTGTAATCTGGTTGGTTTCAGTCGAGAAAGATAATTTACCATTCAAAGTAAAATGGACAGATTCATGCAAATCAACTGTATTTGCACTTTTTGTTTATTTTCTCATATCTGCTCTCAGTTTTTGTCACTGGAGCCTATTTTCATGCTACTCACATTTGTTTCAGCTGAATGTCAAAGCTTGGCTCCTGTAACAATCACAAACATGAGATGCTGTTTTCTGTTTTTGCTAAAAAGTTTAGAAGGTCTGTGGTGGCAACTGGAGAGAAGCAAGCAACGGCAGAGTATCGCATCAGCAAGAGGTACAAACTACTGAAAATACTTATGACACGTTGTTTTTTATTAGGGTAGTTACTGTATTCACATGTTTAGATGGTTAGTCTTGGTTACACACATTTGCAGAGGTAATCAACAAGAAAGCAAATGATTGATACCTTTATAAAAACGTTTTATTTCCAGTGCCTGGCTGAAGAACTCAGCTCACGCCATCGTTGGGAAGCTGGACCAGAGGATCTCTATGCTCACAGGCCTGAACGTGCAGCATCCGTATGGCGAGTACCTCCAAGTGGTGAATTATGGGATCGGTGGCCATTATGAGCCTCACTTTGATCATGCTACAGTAAGTTGATCGTTAACACTCTTTTCCATTTCAATTTTTTTGTTGTGTTTCATTCTATTTATATTAAATTTTTCTACAAAGTTTTTATTTCCTTACCTCTTTTAATATTGTTTATCTCTTTTACACTACTCTCTGAAAATTGTTTTCAAATGTGCTTTCAGATTTTAAATAGTTTTCTTTTATTTATGTATCTATGCTGTTTTTTAATGACCCTTTACAACACTTTTAATCTACCTCTGTATATGAAAGGTGATTTATCAATTAAAATGCCATGCCTCACCTTTTTGTACTGTTTTATTATAAAGTTTGCACATTGACTCTGATCACATTTCTAATGCTGCTTTCTACTATCTGTTTACATTTCCACACAACCAGTCACCGTCCAGTCCTGTGTTCAAGCTGAAAACTGGGAATCGAGTGGCAACATTCATGATATATGTGAGTGAGGTCTTCTTCTTTTGACCCTGAATGAACTAGTCAGCTGCCAGAGGTTCCTATAAGATCATATAAGATAAGATAAGATAAGATAAATCTTAAGTCTAAGTTAAGAAAGGTCAGGTTGACTGGAAACCCTAACTGGATGCGAAGTACATTATTATTGATGTTATATTATGCAACAAACCTGCAGCTAACTCATATTCAAACTGCATTACACAGTCTACCAATTCCTTTTTTCCTTTCAATGTCCCTTTTGTTCTGTTTTATATTATCATCACTGATATCTAATGTGGACATCTGAGTAAAATTGGCTTTATGTGAGGCTTTGGAAACAGTGCAGCGGACACAGTGGCTTTTCCCTAACAGGAGCACATAAACACAAGACACTACTGTGAAGGAATGTCCTTTTCCACAGCTCAGCTCTGTCGAGGCAGGTGGCTCCACAGCCTTCATCTACGCCAACTTCAGCGCTCCTGTCGTGGAGGTAAACACACTGCAATTCACCGAGCTGAGCTTCTCTTGTCTTCATTTCATTTTGGCCTCCAGCGCGATCGTTTTCACCTCCCTCACATTCTCTGGTTCAGCTGTCAAAATGCTGAAAGGTCACATCATAGCAACATCAGCCTTGAGATTTTTTTTAAACCACAGTACTGCGGTTGTGTAGTTGAGCCTCAGTGGAGTTGGAGGTGTTTCGTGGGCTGATAAATGAGCTACAGTGGAAGGTTTTCCAGACCATTCCTGGGGTTTAACCCTTCACCTTTAATTTAACTGACACCTCACTTCCTGGCTGTTTATACAGAAAATAACTGCTGCTCATAAACTGATAAAATGACCAATGAAATAATTAATGTCTTTGTCTTCAATCTTTGTAACACGTTTTTTTGTAATTTGATTGATTTTCATTCAACTATTAAAACAACATCGCTCAGCCAACTTAATAATGAATAATGTATAGTCGAATTCATCATTGGATAATTGATTGGTGAGGATTTTACTTTCTTACTTTATTTTTGTTTTGTTTTGCATATTATGGTTAACTGATTATCTCTGTGCATTTTGATTCATGGATTAACCATGAAGATGATAGTGAGCTTAATCAATTATTCAAATAATTATTTGGTCCAACCTCAGTTTGGACTAAAGCACTATTTTCAAATCTCATTTCAACTTTCCTTTTTGTCTTTTTCTTATCACAGAGAGCTGCTATCTTCTGGTGGAACCTCCACAGAAATGGCGATGGAGACGTCGACACCCTGCACGCCGGCTGCCCCGTGCTCATTGGAGATAAATGGGGTAAGACTCAGTAGATTCAGGGTGTGATGTGGTGGTTGTGTCAACGGGAGCCAAACAGTGATGTAACCATGGGAAAAGGGAATTCACGGCGGTTTATGAGACCTTATTGAGCTTTTTTACATCATGCTCTATTTTCCAGTGTCTGTGTCATACAGGAGTGAACGTACAACACCTCGGCCACATCTGTGCCGCATTACTCATTTAAAAATGTTACTGTTGAGACACTGAGCTCATCCTGGAAGTTGAACATCTGCTGCTGGTTGGCCCAGGCCATCAAACTCCCAACGCTGAGACGTGTGTCAGAGACCCAGTTAAAATAACAGGAGGATATTAATCATCACAAAGTAGCTGCAGGAGCATTCACTGGCTGTGTTGCTTTAGCAAATATTTGTCCTTAGGTTAAAGTGACAATGGTGCAACCTAGAAATAAGTCCTTTATTTAATATTTCTGTTATGTTTTTTCAAGCATTTAAGGTAGCTTCTAGAGGTTCAGCTAATTATATCAAATGTTTGCACTGTTAAGAGTATTTAATCCCTAAATGCATCATAATGTATGACTCAGTAATAGTTTTTGTATGCACAAGATTGTAACCTTGTAAGCTGTTTAGTTAATATTGTGGATTTAAAAATGTATAATATTTCCCATTGGGAATATAAAAGGGAAGAGTGAGTAGAGTAAAATAGAAATACTTGTGCAAAATGCATGTGCAAGGATAATCTCTATTTGTCTTGAAATATATATAAACATACTTTAAATCTGTTTGTATCTTCCAGTGGCAAACAAGTGGATCCATGAGTATGGTCAAGAGTTCCTACATCGCTGCAGCCTGAATCCAGAAGAGTGAGAGGCATGGAGCATTAGCTGGGCCCCTCGGAGTACAAGAGCCGGCCTCTACAATTGAGAGGCACACTTACAGGCAAGGAGAAGGAGGCAGCCAAAAAGTGAGCACACAGGCAGGGGAGCTGAGAGCTGTGGAGGGGGGGGGGCTGTATCTGTGACTGGAGCCCCTGCACCCAGGGAGCCTGGAGCACACACTGCTGCAGTGCACATGGATCACACAGCGCTGAGAGGCGGGGTGGAAGAAGAGTGGGGCAGTTGGAAATTGGGCCCCCAGAGGCCAGATTCTGCTTCTGCAGATGGAGAGAGGCCTCTGCCTTCGCACACTGTGCTGGTTTCAGTTAACTGTGCAAGGCTGTTTACCTCCCGCTTGCTTAAAAACTGAACTTCTCATGCAGCTCCTTTCCTATGCTGGCCCCACTCAAGGGTCTGTCATTACAAATCAACACAGCAGAACTTCTTGGATACTCAGAATAAGTGTGCATAAGCAGATGCACAAGACATTAACAAATATCCATGTGTGTATGATGGTGTTGACAGAAATAAATGTCTCTTCTGGATTTGTTTTTTTTTTACTGACATGTAACAGAAGATGTGTTTTACACAGAACAAAAAAAACGTGACTTATCTACAGAGGTTTCTCTGTGTTTGGTCATCTCACAGCTCAGGACTGCAGCTCAGACCAGTGCTCTATGAGTCATAGGAACCAGTCACCGTGAGTGTGCCTGTTAAGTTCCAGCTGACTGAACAATGTGGTCATCACTGCCTGTGCAAGACTCTCTCAGTTAAAATCCATGTAACTAACTGTCTAATGGAACAAATGAACCAGATCTGTCATCCTCTTATGGAGCTTCAGAGGCCAGTCACCATTAATCATTAGTCTGCACGCCTTGTGATCGCTCCAGATTTCATGTCTGGACTCACACGACCAACACTGTTGCGCATACCACCCAGACATCTGAGATATCTGTGTCTAAATAGGTCATAACACGTCTTAAAACAATGTGGGATGGGGCGCACTAAGTGTTAAGACTCATATGAGCTCAAGGAAACAGCTGAAGTCTATATATTTGACTTTTTTTGCAATGGTGAAAGTCGTCACAGCATCACAAGTTTTCTTTCCAGTTCACTATAGTGTGCACAAACAGACACACTCTCTACACACACTAACATACAGAAAATATAAGCGAGGGCCATATATACATGATACACATTCCTGGGTACACACGAAACAGCAGGACTTGATTATTTTCCCTCTGAACCGATGGATGAGGACGCTGCCTCTCTGAAGCTCTTTCACATCTGTTTCACTGCAGTTTAATGTGAGATTTGTACCATTCATAACAGTTTTTAAGTCTAAAGTTAAGTAATTATAAAAATGGACTCAGTATTGTCATCAAGTTGTTTGCAACTGGAATGCCTACAACTGCTACATTGATTGATAGAAACACACATTGCAGCTACAAGTCAGATAAGTGAATTTTCACAGGAGCATCCTACAATCTGAAACCTCAATTTTTCCCAGAATTCAAAGGGCTTCATTCTGCATTCTTCCCTCAGCGGCCCTCGCTGTTACCATGAAAACCACAACAAACATGGCTGCAGAGGGACTTGTTTGCTAAGCAGGAGCCGGCTGACCTACATCACAGGTCAACCTCAGCATATTGTCAAGTGCATACAGTAACTGCACTTAAAAGCCAGACTTTTTAACACTTTGGTAAACTTCCAAACTTTAGGAAAAGTGACTGACTGAAAAACTGGAACATATCTGTTAAATATAAATGCAACAGGTCCAGGACAGAGAGAAATGTACTTGTTAGAAACGTCAGCAGCTTTGAAGAGTAATAGAAAGATCAGTGCTTCCCTCTGCTGGCGACAGTAGAGAAGGCTTCACTATTAAAATAACCATGTTCTTTATGGTTAAAGTTCCACACCAGTTCATTTAATTTGATGCAAAGCTGCATGCTGTATTTTGTATGTCATTGCACAATATGGGCGAGCGAAACACTGCCATGTCTTTATGTCTTTAATGGAATCACACTCAGCCCTGACATTTTTTTTTACTCTACTGTTTTATTTAATTGCCTATAATATACACATGTATTTGTATAGCACCTTTCATACGAGAAATGCAGCTCAAAGTGCTTTACATACAATATAGACAAAAAACACATGTTAATAAAACTGAAAACTGATTTGTAAATAAAGCTTCCAGTTTATATTTTAGAAAAAAAGTTATTATAAATCTATTATATTTTAAATAGATTCATTCAATTACTGTAGTAAGATGACGTATTCATCATCAAAATAGTTGCGTATTACTTTTCTTTCATTCTTCATAAAGAGGAAGAGAAATTAAATTAAATAAAAAACAGAGCACGTTACACTCGGTTTCCCAGAATGCCTCTGTGAACGGCAGCGGCAGCGAAGGCGGGACGGAAGTTCTCCAGAGTGTGTGTTTGTGTGTGTGTTTGTGTTTGTGTTTGTGTGTTTTCTCTGTTAAACGGATTATTAGTTTGTTCGCAGTGAGCTGAAATGATGAGCACCAGCAACACACACGCTGTTCGGAGCAGGAGGAGGTTCAGCTCCTGAGTTTCACTGAGGGATGAAGAGCAGGAGGCAGAGAGCGACCACAGCAGGAAGCGGCAGAAAGAAAGGTAAAGTGCTGTTAGCTCCGCTAGCCGCTAACGCTAATGTTGTTAAGTAGCTGCCAACTGTCACGTTAGCCTCGTCTGTTGTGTGAGTCTGTCGTTTGTTTCCTCTCGGTGTGTGGGACTCTGTTCTTTCACTTGTGATGTCAACGCTACTTGTTTGTTGGCTTCATTTTCACTCTGTGCCAGTGGTTTTGTAGCAGTTTGTTTTGGTTTGGCTAAAGATGCTGCGACTTATAACTTAATGGATGAAATATGATAAAAAATGACCTCGACCTAGAGGCTGAAAGGGAAAAGTTTTGAATTTATTGTTGATAAAGTTTTTTATTTAATTTTTCCCTATTGTAAGCTATTATAATTATTTTACCTCTTTTACTTTAGAAATAATCACATTTTCAGTGGTGAAAAAATAGTTTTTCAATTCTAGTGCAATAGTTTTTTTTATCAAGTTTTTTTTCTCTCGGCTTAATTAGTGAAGAAAAATCATATGACATTGGTATATGTTCTGTACTATCAGAATCAGAAAAGCTTTTATTGCCAAGTTTACACATACATGGAATTTGTTGTTGGTTCATGTCAGACATCTCTAAATATAAGAAGATAAAAAAATCAAGTTTTAAAATTTAACAATATAAATATAAAAATATATACATAGTATGTTTCTGAAGGTAAAAAGGAAAAAAAAAAGAAGAGCAGTACAGCAGTAATGAGTTATATATATTTATATAAACTCATTTAATCACATACATTCACCATTTGTACACTCTTTTTCATCTGTTACTTTTTTTATAATGGTGTTTGTTGACCTGGCTGAAATTTTCATTACAATAATATTCAGAATGTTGTATTGTGCACTGTAGAGTCCATAAACAATAATACAATGTGCCCAGTCCTAATGAATGGTAAAGATTGTCAACATGGAGCTCGTACCTGTTCCCTTATATGTTGACGTTACTATTTACCATGTTTGCCTTTTTGTCTTGCTTTGGAATTCTTTTTGCAGTCCCCATCGATGTGTCCCCCTCCACTAGCCTCCCTCCTCTGGTGGAGGGTCAGCTGAGATGCTTCCTCTGGGTGACAATAAGCCGAATATTATGGACGGTTCACAAGCCTCCGCCTTCAACGTTTGTCAGGCTTCGCTGGTGGGGAGAGTCATCCAATGGCACACACTTCCTCCCGAGAGACGCATCGCAGCTCTCGCAGAAGAACGTCAAGATCACAAGTCGCTTTGCCATCTGCTGTGGTCCAAAGCAGTTCACCTCATATCTTACAGGTAACTGAGAATTATAGAAGAACAATCAGATTTTTTAAAATTGTTGTCATAAAATGCATGATTTTACAGCGATTTTTCTAAAGTTGGGAGACCTCTGTTTATTTTTCATGTGTTTATGACCTTGAATTGTTGCAATTACGCCATAGACTGGCGAAAACTCCTTCTGAGCAGGCTCTAATGCAAATGTCTATTTTTGAATCTACAACTAATCTGTCATTCATGAACAGATATGGGCTCATTGGTGCTTGAAGTTCTGACAAAACCAGATCATTTGCCGATCGCACGGGCTCAGGTCGCTGGCATCTCCCGTCTTTCTCTGTCACACCCCATCAGTGGATTTTACACCCTTGTATCTCCGACGTCTGAAAAGCTGGGAGAGCTACAGGCGAGTGAAAATATGAATTAACTGCAATCTGTAAACTGCTTTTTTGTATTACAGCCTGCAAGTTATGTTTGGAATACTAACTATATGACTACTGTTATTTTGCCATCACATAAAACCCTGTGTGTTGCAGTGTTGGCTCACAAATCTGAAATTGTGCAATACACAAAATTAGGGAATTTAATTTGTTTTTATAAGAAGTGTAAAAAAATTGTTTCACTATGAAACTTTTGCAGGACAAATAAGACTATGGCCGGCTGCCACGGTGTTGGTAATGAATGGAAACATTGACTGAATACCCTTCAAAACAGTTTTTATTGTTTTGTACCTGTTTACTACCTCAGGTTTCACTTAACTTGGAGCCCCTGACTGAAGCCTATGACAGCAGCAGCTCAGCTCCCCCCACAGATATCAGTGTTGAACAACCACAAGTCACCACACTGACTGTGCCCTCACGGCCCAGATCACTCTCAGCTGGCAGCGGGAAAGAATCGATTGGGAGCAGCAGCGGAAACACACCAAGGTCTGAACAAGACATAATGTGGTTGCTATTCATTATCAAATACCTGTGTTTTGTTGTAAGATCTCACCAGTATAGTTGTCATATTTTCAGAGGGAAAGACCACTTATATTTCCAAAAACCCCAAAGAGATGAAGGCAAAGAAGAGTTTTTGGAGAATCAGATGCCGACAACAAACAGTCAAAAGGCTGTGAATCCTTCAAGTTATGAGCCTTGTGGACAAACTACCAATAATATCTTCTCAGGTTGGTCACAGTGCTACATAACATCAGATGGACAAATTTAACAGTGTGTGGACACCCTGACACTTTTTTCCCCTCAGTTATTTTAGAGCGTGGGAACAAGCTAAGAAGCACCATTGTGCAATCAGCTTTGACTTGTGACATGGATTCAGCTCTGAAAGATGCCCCCCTCCCGCTCCCAAAGGACAACATCCTACCACCTTTCAAGTTAGTGTCTCAAAAGTTCAGAAAAATAAACTGCATCATTTTTTCACTATTTGTTGATATTGTTTATAATGATTCATTTCTGTGTCCACAGGCCTGTGCCCTCTCCCTCTGGAATGTTTCTTCAAAATATTTTGCATGCTGATTCATCTCTTAAACACTCTGATGATGTTGCAGTAGTATCTGACTGCGACTTAGACTGTGTCGCTGATATAGACAACAGAGCCATAGATATTCTCCTCGGCAGGTACCTGGTTTTGCATTTACTTTCAATTGTGGCAGAAATTG